CCCCAAAACCCCAAAACCCCAAAACCCCAAAACCCCGAATCAAATATAATTTATTGATAATTTATCATTCTTTCTAAAACTGAGTCAGGATTAGTATAATCAGAGAAAAAGAAAAAGGAAATTTTGTCAATCTAATCTGAAAATTTACTAAACAAAATTGACCACAAACAGTGACCTCCCGGAGCCAGAATATTCCCCGAGCGAGGCAAAAGCTTCTGGAATAGAATGCTTTGAAGTGGTTGAAGATGTTTACCCAAAATTGAGAAATTCCTTCTCATCTTAGTATAATTCATAAAAATTTCGAATGCAATGCTAAAAGTGGGCAGGAAAGTTAGAAAAATCGAGCACATCACCAACGAATACCCGATATTTTGCCTTGTTCCAGAACAGGTGCTGCTATCTAAGTAATGTTCCAGAAGGATATATAGGAGGTGCAAGGAGGCTCCTCCAGTTTATTCACACGAAAACACAACTTATTTCATAGAATAAGCCTCCTATCTATTATCTGTGATAACTAAAACGTGGTAATTACTAAATTGATGAAATAATTGGAAAGGAGAAGCTACCAAACTTATAGGTCAGATATCTTCCTGGATGAGGCCCATTTTCATATTTCAAGAATTCTATGTCCTTAGAATAAATTGGTATTAGTATTCATTTGATTTTGGTCAATGTTTTGTGCTATAAAATGTTAGTAAACCGAGCTAGTCTTGTAAGAAGAATAGCGCACATTAAACCTTTGTAAAATACAACATATTCTCCCAGAACCTCAAAATTCAGAGATAATTGGCCATTCTAGTGAATAAAAATGTGTTATCCAAATGATATTTTAGGAAAACATCAATCTTTGGGTGGAATTTTTGCTTCAAGTTAGCTATCTAAAATAGTCAATGGTGAATTTAGATCAGGGTATTTTCTTCTTGGTCTTTGCTTTGAGCAATACCAATATAAATAAAGGTGATAGACAAAAACTGTCGATTTCTGGAATTAGCTTTAATTAGAAGACTAATAATTTTGATAATTTTCAAAATAAATGGAAAATTGAGGGCTATTTTATCATTATGCCAGTCACCACATCGACGAAGATCGATATAAATTTCTTAATGATGAATAAATGATTGTTGGTTACAGATAAAAATGAAAATTATTGACTTAATCAGATTCGAAATAACTAAATCAAAAGATTGTGCTTCAAAAATATCTTACCTTGCTGCTGATCATTGTTTTTAGCCATTTGCATAGTTGCTAATACACTTTGATGGGGGATTTCCTCTTTCTTATCCATTACTTGGTCGCTCTGATCGTTAGTAGAGGCATTCATAATCCTTGGCCGCTGCCCTTCAGCTGATCCGGGAGGTGACCAATTCGCTAGCTCTTCAGAATCCGATCCAAAACTTAGATCCTCTTCTAGTAAATCTTTGAGTCTAACTTCTCTCTCATCTGCTACATTAAAAAGTACCTCGTATTTTTGTCTTTTGATTCCATTTTTATCGTACCCTGAGGGGCCCGCTGTGCGGGCTCTTTTATTATTGTTGTATTTCTCCTCTTCTTTACCCTTCTCTTCCTCTTCTTTCTTTTTCCTTTCATCATAGATTTCTTTTTCTCTTACATATCTCTGCTTGTCCTGAGTTGATTTAGCCACAAATGGCTCTTTTTGCTCTTCACTGAGCAACTTCCAGTCTGCTGCAATTTTAGCTACAACTTCCTTTTGGATAAACTCAGGATGCGCTTGCTTGACTATGCCATTGTTAGCCTTGAAGTAGTAAAAGTATGCTCCAAGAGGTCTTTTTGGGGCATTTGGATCCTTTCACTTCCTCTTTCTCTTCTTCTTAGTTGATTTATCACCATCTTTTGCAGACTTTTTGGATTTACTGACTGGCATTTTAAATCCCTCTACATTCTCTCCTCCGTTCATATTTTATTATATAATAAAAGATAATATTCTGACTTGGGGTTTTGGGGTTTTGGGGTTTTGGGGTTTTGGGG